CCGTAACTAGTCATTCCTGTGCCCTGTGCAAGAATTTGCATTTAGGCCCGTTAATTTATTTGGTTTTGGGAAAATAATAAAACAAATACATTACAATAGATTTTTAATAAGATTTGTTTTAATTGAATTTTTCTGGCTTTCATTTCAGCAAATTCATTAATTACACCATCATAATTAATATTTTTAACGATATTGTATTCTATTGAAATAATAGAAATATTGGATAATCGTTCTTGTCCGATAGTTGATCTTAAATAATTTTTTATTAAGTTTAACTTGCTAAAACTTCTCTCGCACGAAGCAATAGAAACGGGAAGAGTTAGAAATATTCGAAGAGCGACATTGATATTTGGGTAAGACTCAATTAAACCAAAATCATGAAGAGCCTGTAGAATATTAAGCGGAGATGCAGTTTCTATATTTTGTATAAGAGTCGTTACTTCAAAATTAAAACTTTCAATTTCACTTGTGAATTCGTACTTTTTTAAATCTTTGCTATATTTAATAGCGAGATCTGCAGCCGATTTTTTTAAATCAGCAACACTCATGTATTGTAAAGACGAGCCACAGAGAAAGCAAAAATCGTCACAGATAGTTTTCATTTTTTCATAACGCCAATCTATTTGACACAATAGAGTGTCAAGAACACTGTAAATTTGTATTTTAAATAATTTTTCGGGTGTCAAGTTACTTCCTTCATCTGGTGTTTTATCTATTTCCATTATCTTAACTTTTTTTTTTCGTTTATTAAGAAATCCCTTTTCTATACTTTTTGGTTTGTTTTAAGAATATGATCAATAATAGCATCTGTTAATATTGTTGGCCATAAAGCTATATCATTTATTACTTCCATGTATCTATATATATCGAAGCGTTTTTTTTTTTGGACTATTTCTATCTTCTGCGTTTTTGAAATCCCTTTTTTCAGTAGCATTTTAAAGACTGCAGGAGCTCCTTCGGGGCTCTACAGGTATACACCACATATGCGTACCACTATAAAGCAAAAATTGATGTCAGAATTTCTGCACGCCTTTTACAACCTCGAGACTAAGAATTTAATCGGGAGTTACCGTTTTCAATTTAGTAATTTAAAAAGATCCTCGGGTAGATTTATTTTTGCTACAAAATGTTACCTTTACAGCTCTGCACACTAGAAAAATCTAGAAATACAGTTTGTATATCGTAATAATAATAGTAGTTGCAGAAAGCTCTATAAAGTAGAGAAAAATCTGTAAATTTGAAAACTATAAACATAAATTTAAATTGCTCAAAAAACAAATTAGAAAATCTCAAAAGTCGCTAGTTTTGGCTGATTTGTCTGAGGTCTCCGCTACCTCACTACGTCCCTCTAAAAGTCGCCACAGTTGGGAACACTGGTGAGCAGACGTCTAGGGTCTAAGTAAGGCGAAATGTAATCGCCAAACCGCGCTGTAGAAAGGCGGTAAAATTTAAAATTTAAAAATATAATTTCTTGTGAACAGCAGTTTGGACCCCCTTCCAAGTAGGCCCTGTGCGGGTGCACCTGTTGCACCTGCCTACTTACGGCTCTGCCTATGACCCACTTTTTTCAGGGTTTGTCCAATTTGAAACACTTCATCCAGATTGGAAAATTTTTCCAGAATATCCTAATTTGTCAATTTCTACCTGAAAATATTCTGATTTGTATTAAAAGCAGTCAAATAAGAACTGTCATGCATGCATATACTGCCTGTCCTTTCTTCACCTCACACATGTATGTCTTTAGTAATCTATGGTGCACACATTGTGTTCTGTTGGCTCTGTATAATGTTTTTTTGGCATCAAAATGATTGATAGTCAATGAAGCAATGATTTTGTATGTGAGTTCACAAAACCTTCGATCCTGTGGCCACTAACAGTGTTGCATCATTATTATACTAAGACAATTTAATCACTATTTCTATCATTCCTAAAGATAAAATAGCACATTTTATCTTATATGATTATCTTCAATATAGAGATAATCTAAATACAAACAAAATCTTTTATTCAGTAACAGCATTTCAATGAAAACTCAAATGTTTTTGCCTTCACCAAGGCCTGCCTCAGGATTTTTAATGAAACCAAATTTCCAAAATGCTGTTACTGGATAAAAGATTTTGTTTGTATTTAATAAATTACCCCAGTAAATTTGTGAAGAACATAGTTACAAGAGATAATCTATCTATTAAATTATTTATCCATTTACAGTATGCATAAGAAAACTATAAATGCAAATAAAATTTAAATTAACAATTTATTTTTCTTCAAATTCACTTTTCATGAATAATAATTATCATAGTAGAAGAAAAACTGCCTTCAAGAGGCAGGGCTGATTTTGGACTGTTGGCTGCCTGCGTGCGATATTTGGCCATCCCTATCAGTGCTGATCATGAGTAAATTCAAATCCTGAGCTAATCCATGAGAGCCTTCTGGTATGTTTTATGATAGTTTCATATAGTTGACAGGGAGTAAAATAATCCATAAAAATATTTTATATATATTTATTTTAATTTTATTCAAATCAAGCCACTCTGTAGATAATAGGCACTTTTGTTCAAAGTTATATTTCTGCACTGCTGTAAAAATAGAAGTTGCAAATTAAAATGAAATTTTTCTTATTTAGTATATAAATATAATACATATGTATGTGTATATAAAAATTTATTTAAATATAAATATTTAAATTAATTACATTGGTGCACATCTCTGTTTATTTAAATTTCCTTTGAGAACCCAAATTACAATTCAACAATTAAAACAATGATGTAAGTATTGCTTTATGATTAGAGGTACAGAAATAATATAAATTAATAGCTTGGAGTTTGCAAACTTTAAAAGTTTACAAACTCCAAGTTTTTACATCTTGTTAAATTCTTGTTAAAACAAGAAACAGTCATAGTGATTATGGAATTCCCACTGTTGAATTTTTCTCTAGTTTAAAGGATAAATCCACCATCACCTATTGCCCACACTTTTAAGTTTTCTGATGCAAAATGCTTAATATGTATGCTTTGGCATTATTTATATCCATAAACTGCACAGTTCTATCATCAGTTGCCATCCAAACATCAACCTATTTCATTGCAGATTACTATATTAAAATAATATAAAATTATATTTGAATTTTATTTTTTAAAGTGCACTAGCAGCCACCCTAAAAATTTGGCTGCCTGTCTGCATGCTTGCACTGCATACCTATCAGAACCAGCCCTGTCAGGAGGGCTATGAAGGACAACAGTCATCATCTAGGTATGGCTGACCTTTACAATGTGAAGCAGCAATGAATATGTACAGGAGTCATATATTCAACACTATAAATATTACTTCTAATTCATATTAATTTTATCATTATGGAAGTAAATACTGTATAGATAAAACAAGAACACAATCTGAGATTGTATTATTAATCTAGCTTACAAATAATAATGGCTGTAATTATGAACTAGCTACCATCTACTTCATTATGATCTTAAGAGACATTATTCATGAAATCAAGGGAATTCCTTGAATCCTCTGTTATTTTTGTTTATGGACAACAATATGCAACTTTTTATGGCTGTTTTTGTCCTAAGTGTGCCTTTTAAGTAAGGATATACATAGTAGGCCCTACTTTAAATGTCAAGACTGATATGTCAACTGGATTTAATTTCATTGAGCATGCATACTGTAGGAAGCATTAGGGAGACTGGATGCAAATAGGCAAGTTCTTTCCTCAACTTTCTCAGAGCTTCAATAGGATCTTACTTCTCTGTAAACAGTATGCAACATAACTAGTACACAGTACTTGTATCACTGTAAGATCTGTAGCTTCATATATCTTACTAAAGTCTTCTATACCAGTGAATATGTCTCCAGATAATTTCTCCAATTAAATTTAATAAAATTTCAGTTTAAAATTATAAAATTTGTAAATCAAAACATTCATCTAATTTGAACAAAAAAATTTAGATATAAGAAAGAATTATAAAATAAATGTTAATTTATACAAAATACACTTAATATGAACAGAATATATTATTAATTTTTGGATTACACATTTAGTAATTAAGGGATTATGAATCCAGTATACAGTCATTTTTGTTCTGTAATTAGATAGCAAACAAACACAATATCATAATAAGCAAATTTGATTTTTATAATTAAAAAATCTAATAACTTGTAGTTTTTTCAAGACTTGTTATTGATCAAAGCTTTATCTTAAAACAAGATAAATAAATAGAGGTTAAAAAATTTATATTATACAATGCTGTTAATCGTTAATTATTATGTTGAAGGTTGTTATCAAGAAATCCAAATAATAATTTAAATATTAAAGGCTTATTGAAACATAAACATTGTGAATAAATACAGTTAATAAAATGTAGAAATAATATGTCAAATAGAAAAGTAATAAATGAAAGAGAAGTTTTCCTTCTGTGGAGGTAATTAATCTTAAAGAAGTTTACAATAATTATAAGAAAAAGACAAGCAATATTGTAGAACTATATGTATTGAACTAATGAGTAAGAAAGTTGAAAAAAATTATTTTATATCTTCTGAGAATTTTTTAGTCTGTTAAAGATTTTATTTAAAACTGTTTTTAGATTAAACAAAAATTAAGAACTTGCAGGAATATAGGAGCCAAGGTATTTAAGGATAAAATGTTTATAAGACCTTTTATCTAGCAGAGCTGATCAAAATGGGAGATCTGAAGCTGAGGCAAAAGATCTTAAAAGAAACAATTTTATATTTAAATCTTTATCTTTAAATACCATGATTCCTATAATCCTGAAAGCAGTTGATTTCTGTTCAACCTGTTTAATATAGAGTTGTATATAAAATAAAAAATGTAAAATAAAAAGTACATACATTATTTTTCATTTTTAGACTGATGAATTAATTAAAGAGGAAACACATTACAATAAATAAAAATAAGATTTTCTAACATACTAAGTAAACTGTTAGAGTGTCAAAATATTTTTCTTTTATATATTTATTATTTATTTAAAATAACATTTCAGTGAAAAGTTATTTATGGAAATGGCAGATCATTTAGTTAAGGATGGATTCAGAGAAGTGGGATATCAGTATATAAATATTGATGACTGTTGGATGTCCCGTCATAGAGATAAAAATGGTCATCTTGTTGCTGATCCAAAAAGATTTCCTAATGGAATAAAATTTTTAGCAAAATATGTAAGTATTGTATGCCTAAGAGATTAATCTTTAATATCCAGCATAAAATTTGCACAATAAATGCTTGTAGCTAAGTTAATTTGCTATTATTAAGTTCTGTGTGAATACAGAAAGAAACTTTCAGATTCCAGAACTAGTTATGAACCATGTATGCTTAATTCAAAATACAGTATTTAAATTTACAAACATTAATAAATGCACTAAACACTGTATGAACATTGCATATATTCTAATCAAACACAGTTAAAACTATTTATGCATAAGTTATAGAACATTCAGAACTTAGTTATTAACTATTAATAACTATTATATTATATTATAGTTATTATATTATATTTTGTAATTTAAGTTTTGAATAAAACAATACAAGAGAAATCTGTATTGAAAGTTGATAAATCAGTTTTTTATATATATAAATAAGCTTTTTCATTTGATATATAGATACAAAAACAAAATTGAAATCTGCTAGAGAAGTTTATTTCCATCATGACAAGTACTGCACATGAGCATTTATCCAGATAAAAATAGGTACAACAATGTGCAATGTAATGTTAACAATACTAGTTTGCTTTCTTAGAATTAGCCAAGAAAAATATTTAAAATTTTAAAAAATTTAATTATTTTTCTCTAAATTTATTAAGTGTATTATTTTGAACAATTTTTACTTTTCCAATTTTGTTATATATAACAGAGGGAAAGTGTAGCAATTAGTCAAAAAATGACCCCTTTTTTATTTTTTGGATTCAGGACACCTTGAAATGTCAAGATATGCAAAAATTTTGGTGTTTATTTTTCCCGTATGTATGGATGTTAGACTGTGTGGGGGGACATGATTTTGTTTACCCTGTTTGAAGCCTAATAACTTCTGTGGTTTTTAAATTGGAGTCAAATGGTTTAACACAAGAGTTATTAAGCTTCAAAGTGGTTGAACTAAATCATGCCCCCATACACATTTAACATCTTAGGTGAGAACATCTTAACGGGTTTTACTGTACAGTACTATTATAAAATGACAAAAAGCCTAATTTTTAGGTTTTATTTTTTGAGAGACAAGTTTTTATTTAAAAAAAAATTGTGAATGCTAATAATGAGTAAAATATTCATTAAGTTTGATTACACTGGAGATATAACACATGACCCCTTTTATATCTCCACCCTGTTGACCTTTAATTAAGAACCAAAATTTAATAACATTAATGTCTCTTTATACACAAGCTACAGTGCCAAATTTTGTTTCTTAAATTTTACTTATTCTGAGATATTGTTTAATATCTCAGAACAGAAAATAAAGAAATTAAACAAATTAGATGCCAACACACACATGCATGTGAATTTTTCCTCTTTAATTCACATTTTTTTTGGGTTTGGGAAGTCTCCAAATGTGTAGATTTGCAAAAAACTTGGAGGTTCAAATTTGACATGATTCCAATACTTTTCCATTTTATATACATAACAAGATGGGAAGTAAAAAGGAGTTAGAGTCGGCAGATTTTTTGACAACTCCGACTCTGACTAAAACACCAAAACTCCACAACTCCAACTCTACAGCCCTGGTTGTCAGGAAAGTTAAGCAACTCATTGCGAGATTTTTTAAAAAGAAATCTTTTGGAAATGTTTATACATTTTAACTATTGCTTGAGATTTCATAGAGTATAGATTACTCTGCTTAATCTTTACTATTTGTAATATTTATTTAGTAATATAATGGTAATTGGTCATTTAAAAAAAACTTTTTTTTAGCACTTCAAATTTTCCTACAAGCAATTGATTTATGAAATTGTTTTTTGGAATATTTTATATACCCTACATTTGAGAGCTTTACATAAAAAACTAAGCTCTATAACAATTAATTTCATGACCACATTCACTCAAAGACTAAATGTTTTCACAAATACTTGTTTGGTGCTGCAACTAGTATCAATTTAAGTACTAATAGTGCATAAATTTTAGTTTCATTGAATGATATTTCTACTCTCAGATGTTATTTATGTATTATATTCAAGATTTCTTAAAATATGAATTGAAAATGCAAATTTTTAAATTAAATTGATTTGAGTTAATAGTATTTTAATAATATTTATCAATTTTCTTATTGTGAATAGATGCATGATAGAAATTTGAAACTAGGAATTTATCAAGATTTTGGTCTTCTCACTTGTATGGGTTATCCTGGAATTGTTGGTCATATGGAAACAGATGCAAAAACATTTGCTGAATGGAATGTGGATATGGTGAAATTGGATGGCTGTCATTCATCTCCTAAAGATATGGATAAAGGTAATAAAAGAAATTCATTATTAAAACTTAAAATATCAGTTATTTTCTTTAGCAATTTTCTCCTGAAAGGAGTTAGATAGATGACCAGCACAATGTTATTATTGGCAGGAAAGTATAATGTACAGGGGCAAGACACTACTAATTTGATGTGGAGAGCATACATTTTAAATTAAATAAATTAAAAATATGCTTAAAAATTGTAGCCCAGCATTGTGACGATGTCACAATAAGTAATTGCTCGTTTGGTTTTAATTTGATTTGTATTGCTAAGCTGTGTATATTTCCAATGTTAATACACTTAATGACAAAAAAGTTACCCACCCAAAAATAATTGTCCAATTACTGCAAAACTTGACATACAGATATGTCTCAGTCAGTTATATAAATGATAGGAGCAAGATATGCTTTGTTACTGCAGAGAGTATCATGGTATCCCTTGAAGTTTTGTTATTCTATCAATACAACAGCAATGAGAATGGCTGGAAAATATTATTTTTATGCAAGACATAGCACCACTTATATTGCATAACCAATGCAGTATTTTCTGCAGCCTCACTTCACTGATCAGTCACTTATTGCCTTGTTATTTGTCTGATATCACTCCATGTGATTTTTGATTGTGGGGCTAACTCAAGGTCAATGCCTACTATGGAATGATCCTAACTTGGTAAACTAAACTGTAACATAACACATCATGTATAGAAAATTTCTCTTGAGATGTTACATTCTGTCATTAAATGTGTTGTGAGATGAAAACAGTCCACAAAAATAGCAACTACATCACACAGCATAAAAATTCTTCATAACAGGACTGAATATACTTTCATTTGTTATTCATTTATATGTACTTGCACTGTTTTCATCTTGTATGGCATCATATTTCTCCCTACCAATGGATTTTTTAGAACTAAAATTTATTTTATAAAATCTTTTTCCCATGTCCTGAATAATATACCTTTCAAATTTGGTGACATTTGAATTGTTAGAACAATTATCAGAAAGCTCCAAGTACAAAAAATTTAATTGTGGCCATTCAGTATTTCTTTTATCCATTATTTAGTAGTATCCAATTTGCTGCTAGTCAAATTGTTTTTGTGAATAAAAATATTTGTTTGACTAACAAAATTGTGCATACGTTGTCAAATTGCAAAAACACCTCCTGTGATTTTTCATCAGGCTTGAAGTGACATTCTCTGATAGCAATTCAAATCCTGCCTATCTGCTAATCCTGTAGGCTGTGTGTTAATGACCACCCTCTCTCATTTTCCATAAGCTGAGCATTGTTTTTTCATCATTGAGGCACAAATTATGTCATTTCACAAGATAAGTGCAAGAGAATTATTTATTAAATTACAATTTTATGATCTGAAAATCAAAACATTTAAATTCACGTCATTGTTTTTAACAATATTTCTGACCTCCTTCAATTATTCTCCACCCCCTTTTTTAAGTTTTGAATTGGTTTATTATCTATTAATTAAACTGTAAAAAGAAGTTATTTAAATCAATTATTATATTCAATTTTTATTGTGACATTAATTTTGACCACAATATTATTCATAAAAGTTTTAATAAATTACATACAACTGTAAACAATTTATTATTAAAAAAAATAAACAATGACAAAGATTTTTCTAGGCATGTGACATGCAGGATGTACTGGAATTGGATAATGGTCCACAATATTCATCAGAAGCATTCTGCAACTTTATAAATTTAGCACATTACATCAAGCCTGCATTATCTGAAATCAAATAGACTAGCTGAATGCTACATGCAAATAGCAAAGCTAAACTTGAGATGATGTGTTATGGAACAGATGAATATACAACTGGCACTTTTGAACTGGAGGAATAATCCTCAAAGAAATCTTCCCTCTCCTGTTCGATGTTGTTTTTGGATGACCTACGCATGATTTAATCCTATTGCATCCATTGTCATGGTTGCCTAGAAAATCATCTTCTGTATCTCTTCAAGTAATTAGAGAAAAGCAACATATAGCAGCCACTACTTCTCCAAGAAATGAATCTGCAAATATAATACAAGGCCAATAAGTTAGACTGAGGACTGCACCTAGAAATTGGGTTCCAGCTACAATGTATAACACTGGGGAGACCTCTTGTTCTTATGTCATTAGAACTGGTGACAACAAAACCCTTTGTTGCAATAGTGAACTGCTACAACCAACCACAGCAAGGATATTGCCCAAATGCCAGATAGCAATTAGATTATCTAAGTCTTCATTGCAGTCATGAAGTGAAGGAAGCTCAGAACACCAAGATGCAAATTTACTTTCTGGATCCAACAGCATCAAGTGATATCATTGACAAAAGGGTACCTCATTCGTACTCTAATGGAGTGACTACTCACTCTGGGAGAATAAGTTGTCCTCCAGAGTGATTAAATTTGTAAATGAACATTCTCTTTGTCTTTATTTTCTTTTTTGTTTATCAGTTCTTTTTTTTTTGTTTGTTGTAAAGAAAGATGTCAAGTGTAAATTAATCTGTTTTTTAGTTTTTGTAACAAGAGGGAGCTCTGCAGTAGCAGATGCCTACGAATTAAATATTAGTTCAGAAGTGTTAAAAACTCTGTCTTGCTCTGCCTCAATTGTTTAATGTATTTTCCAGTCATTAACAGAGTGATCTGTTAATACAAACATTATGACTGCAAAATTAAAAATTATAAATTTTATAGTTGTGCTGTTTGTTTTATGTCAATAAAATATTGAGATTCTCTTCTTTATATTTGACATATTTTGAGAATATAGGCTGCACTAAAGTTTTGACTAACATTTTTCACAACTAATTAGTCATATTTCTAAAGAATTTTTCCTGGAAGGATGCCCAAGTATCAATAAAATATTACTAAAATTAGATGAAATCTTTTTTGATAAATTCACCATGAAACAAACTTTTATATATGTATCTGAACAACTGAGTCATAACAATTAATAGCCCATTTTAAATAAAATTAATAATGAATTTAACATGGCCAACAGTAATTTACGTTTAATAATATAATAAATATAATTACAACTTTTAACAAAGATAAAACTTTGCTTCAGTCCTTTCCTTCTGTTGTTTTTGTTAAAAGTTGTAATTATATTTATTATATTATTAAATTAATAGCCCTACAATAATACAGCTCTATCCTGTTATATAAACTAAGGAAAGATTCACATTATGATTTTCAAATGTTAATAAATATAAATGCTAATATCAAGATAGATTAACAAGATTATCATCAGAGTAGTCATTATTGGACTGAGTATAATAAATTTTATATACTGAGGTATTCTCACTTGTGAAATTACTTTCTTCTAAGTATGGTCAAATATTAAAAGGACTTTATTTAAAAAGAGAAAATTATTAATTTACAGTTTGTAACAATGCATAACTTTTTAAAAAAATAATAGATATATTCAATACTTTATATAAAAAGTCAGTAATTGAATTATTGAACAATTTTACTAGTAATCTTAAGTTTTTCTATAGATTAGTTTTATAGTAATCTTAATAATTTTTACAGGCTATATCCAAATGGGAAATTTTTTAAATAAAACTGGAAGATCTATGCTTTATTCTTGTAGTTGGCCATTTTATCAATTAATTTCTGGAATGGAGGTAACAATTAAATTTTTATAGAATAAGATAATAGAAAACACTGTTTTTCATTCATGTATGGTGAAATATTTACTATGTTTCAATGAATAATATAATGAGAAAAAAGTGTTGAAGATTGACTAGAAGTATCAAATTGCTTTGCTGATTACCATATTTTTGCAAATTGACTGACATGCTACATTCAACTGGGGAAAATCAGCATGCCAGAAATTCCAGGGTTACCAGAATGCCTTGTAAATCACTTATTTCATCTAATTTGAACAAAAAAATTTAGATATAAGAAAGAATTATAAAATAAATGTTAATTTATACAAAATACACTTAATATGAACAGAATATATNTGTTGAAGATTGACTAGAAGTATCAAATTGCTTTGCTGATTACCATATTTTTGCAAATTGACTGACATGCTACATTCAACTGGGGAAAATCAGCATGCCAGAAATTCCAGGGTTACCAGAATGCCAGTTAAACTTCTACTAAAAATTAATCAATCTAAAAAAAACTAGTTGTTAAATAAATGTTACAGGAAACATTCTTCTGAGTACAATAAAATAATAAAATCCTAATTTGTTGCAATTAACATTGTCTGCTGCAAAAGTAATAGTTTTACTACACTGACCTTAAAAGATAACACATTCCTCTCAAATTTCACACAAAGTAGATGTTAATAGTGTAAGTTGAGATAATTTACAGGGTGTTTCTGAAATTTTCTATGTTTATTTTTGCATCAAATTACAATAAAATAAACATAAAAAAGTACTTTCTGCATTTCATGAGTATTTTACATCATTAGGAAGAAGACAAAAATGCAGAAATTAAATATATATTTTAGTTTTTGATATAATGCTGACAGTTTCACAATTTTAGAATAAAAACTGGTTCCCATGAGATATCATACAATGTATGTGTTTCTTTTTTGTTTTTTTACGTGTCCTCTGGAGAGGTAGGTATAACCTTGCATAAACTGATATGCCAGCATTCTCCTAGGAAGAAACCAGCATGCTGGTTTTTACCATATGAAAATATCTGATTTCATGGTCTTCCCTGGAAAATATCGTCAACATGCTGGACAATACATGAAATATATATACAGTAAGACCCCACTTAATGCAGGGGATGTGTTCCTAGATGACAAAGCACTAAAAGAAACAATGTTAAACGAGGTCATTTTAACATATAGTAAATAGGGAAAGGAGAACATGTAACCAAAATTAAACAAATTTTACTTTAATTTTAAGTTGTTTTTATATTTTCATAATAATATATGTTAAATAACACATAAACATATGCACACAGAAGTCTAAAGTTTATTTTTTTGCGATGAAGGTCCTAGCTTTTCTGAAATTCTTGTTTTTTGTGATAAAGTTGTATAGTTTCATTTGTCACTTTTTCTTTCCTTAAGCAAATGTCAGTAGCAGAAGATCACATCCAAAATGCCTCATCTTGTTTTTGCACTTATTTCAAAATCTGGATCATTCACTACAATTTGTTCAATGATTTCGGTTATCTTTACCAAATTTTTACTAAGGAAATCTGTAGAGAAATGCTTTGGGTTCTTTGTTTTCAGAATCACTATTTTCCAGTTCTACGTGAAATCCTTGTTCTGCTAGTTCTTGAAAGTCGTCGTTGGTACGGATCTCACAGTAACTTCTCAATATCCTAGTGGTCTACATCTCCTATTCCTGCTGTTTCGATTAGGTTGACAATTTGGTCAACCTAACAATACAGCAATAGGTTCTTCTTGTTGAGAATTCTCGGATATCTTCAGACATAACTTCTTCCACACTTTGTTCATGCATTTATCAGTTAATTCTTGTCAAGCCATGTCAATATTGCCTATGGCATCCATGATGATATATTTTTTCCAAAATTGCACCAAACAAACATAGATTTAAGGAAAGTACAGTGCTACGACGAATTGACACCATTTGCTGATTGGTCCGTATTTGGGAATAATCGTATTATATACAAAACAATGAAATGTCGCAATTGTGAAACCACCGGAAGGGGGTAGTAGGTCTCCCGATCCGGCAACAGGTTGTTAAACCCTTTCACTGTCAGGATGGATGGTTGGAGGATTCTTTTTCCCGTTGTAACGGGTCGAGTGGTGGAGGGAGGAGCGCGTCGGTGAGACAACAGGCGATATACGAGAAAACGAGGAGGCCAGATATAACATAAGAAAAATTAACAATTTATTAAAATAAGTAATACAACGTCTAGTTCGCGTCCCTAAAACGCGGGGAGACCGAGAGAGAGCTTACAATAATTGGTTCCATACCTCTTGATCTGTTATCCACGCTACTCTTTGAATTAGGAAAATTTCTCTTCTAGGAAAGTTCACTGATGTAGGAAAGGTCACTGTTTAACTATTTGAATCCTGGATTTAGGGAAGTTCACTAGACAAAAAGGACACTATTTGAAATTGATCTTCTTCCGGCACCTGCTCCGGTACGACTCCCCCGAGAAGGGGAAGGAAGGGGTTTTTATAAGTTCGGCGTGGGAGAATGGTCACGTGATTGATTGTTGTGAGGTAAAAGGTATGTAGATGGGTCAGAGTTGTTCCCGGGACCATGCTAACTATCAACTTTGGCGTTGGAATGTGGGATTAGTTTCGAATTGAACGGATGTTTATGTCGAATGTAAACGAAAAGTTTTTTTTTCC